CTACTTAATCAAGTAGGCGCCTACTTGATTAAGTAAGGGCGACTAGTTAACGGGACGCAGGATAGCGCACACTCGCACTCATGACTTGGTTCCTAGATGGTCAGAGAACCACAACCGACACAAAATCTTACTGTTACCAAAGTCGAGGTCCATGCAAGTTCAACACGCAGATAGGCTCAAAGCCAGTCCAATGGTAACCAACATTCAAAATAGGGTTTGAAAACAATAAATAAATATATATATAATATATAAAACTGATCAACTTATCAACGCCTGCCATGCGATGTGTAGCTATGTGTTGGGAGCCAGTTCCCACTGAGAAGTCTGTATGTCTGTGACCTGTGAGCTAAGTGAATCTCTGCCTACAAACTTAGCTTGCAGTGCATTCCTAGTCCTAGTCCTAGTCCTAGTCCACAACACCACCTCCAATCGCCAAGGCACATAAAACGAACATGATTTCGTCTTCAAAAACTGTTGCTCGTAGCGTGAGCGATCTCGTTGTGCTGCAGCACCCTTGCAGGGGGTTGCTTGCCCGGTTGGTCAAGAGTGGGTATCGTTCTACGAAGAGAAAAGAAACAAAACATCAAACTGAATCGTCCCTGGATGATTGTCCCCGTTTTCCTCCACGTCAACAACGTTGTCCCATGAATAAATACTGCAAAGAATTAGCAACACATTTAAGTGTGTATCATAATACAGATACATTGTCGCTGCTGTGGCTATGGTGGTATTGTCTTTGTAATCAAGTGACTGGGAACTGCCGCAAGTCAAGAAATGAAGGCTGGAACAAAAAAGCAAAACACTCAGACCTGGATTGATCGAAACAATCTGAAACATGAATTCTGTGATTTGCCACCGTGGCAGGCAACAATGCTTCCTGTCATTAGGAGACGCTCTTCAAGTGTTGAGTGTCCGCCATCTTTAGACTAAGATGCAATATCAGAGTTTGAAGTTCAGTGCGTCGAGTCTTTTTAAATCCATCCTCCCCCCAATCAGCGCCTTGGCAACCCGCGATTTGCGGGCAGGCATTTGATCAAAGCCTACGCAATCACGCTGCACGCCACTGCGTGCCAGCCCATACTGAACAGCCCACGCCAGCCCGTTGGGTCACGATGTACAGTTCAAAAAACGAATCAAACACAAAAACAACAAGATGGAGCCCACGAACCCGAACGCAAACACGTACTCGCAAACAAGCGCCCAATCATTGTTTGATATTTTTTGCCACTCTTGTTGGAGAGAGTGTCTCCACTCTTGTAGGACCCCTTTGTGGGACACTGTCATGCGACACTATCGTCACTCTGTGGGACATTCTTGCAGGACACTCTTGTAGACTCTTGCGCAACACACGTGCAGGACTCTCGTGGGACACTCACGTACGGCACTCACGTACTCAAATGTACTTTGGCCACATAAGTTGACACTTCTGAGGCAACAGCTCCCAGAAGCTGCTGCCCCCACTACATTTCCACTACAAAGCTGCCATTTCTACAGCTCCCAGAAGCTGCTTGCCACCAGTTCTGAGGCGACAGCTCTCAGAAGCGACATTTGCACTACAAAGTGGACAGTTCTGAGGCCGCACCTGCCAGAAGCCGCTTCCCGCATTACATTAGTACTACCAAATGGCCAGTTCTGAGGCCACAGCTCCCACAACCTGCTTCCCGTATTACATGTATACTACATTGTACTACAAGTTGCCAGTTCTGAGGCCACAGCTGAAGCCGCTTCCCGTGCTGCATTTGTACTACCAAGTGGCCTGTCTCAACACACAGCTCCCAGGAGCAGCTTTCCGCATAACATTTGCGCTAACAAGTTGCCACTTCTGTGGGACACTCTTGTGGCGCACTCTTGCGGAACACTCTTGTGTGACACTCTTGTATGACACTCTTGTCGGACACTCTTGTCGGACACTCTCGTGGGACACTCTTGTAGGACACTCTTGTGGGACACTCTAGCGGGACACTCTGGTGGGACACTCTTGTAGGCCACTCTTGTCGGGCACCTTGTCTGCGGGACACTCTTGTAGGACACTCTCGCGGGACACTCACGTACGACACTCTTGTGGTATACACTCTTGGACCACACTCTTGCGAGACACTCTTGTAGGACACTCTGGCGGGAAACTCTTGCGGGGCACTCTTGTAGGACGCGTTCTTGTCGGAAACCCTTGTGGTACACTCTTGCGCGCTCTTGTGGCACACCTTGTATGGCACTCACTCTTGTAGGACACCCTTGTGGTCGGACATTTTTGTGGGACACTCTTGCGGGACACTCTTCTAAAACACTCTTGCGGGGCACTCTTGTACGACACTCTTGTGGGACACTCTTGCGCGACACCCGGACCCTTGTATGATACTTTGTGAACGCTCCTTTAGGACACTCTTGCGGGGCGCTCTTGTGGGGAACGCTTCTAGGACACTCTTGTGGGGCACTCTTGCCGAACACTCTTGTAGGGCTCTGTGGGACACTCTTGTGGGACACTCTTGCGGAACACTCTTGTAGGACACTCTTGCGAGACACCCTTGTAGGAAACTCTTGTAGCACACTCTTGTAGGACACTCTTGTGGGGCCGCTCTTGTGAGACCACTCTTGTAAGATACTCTAGGACACCCTTGGACACTCTTGTAGGGCACCCTCACACTTGTAGGTCACTCTGTAGGTCACTCTTGCGGGCACGTGTGGAACACTCTTGTAGGACAATTTTGCGGGACACTCTTGTGGGACACACTCTTGCGGGGTATAGGACACTCGGTGGACACTCTTGTGGGCTTGTCGGGCAATCTTGCGGGGCGCGCTTTTGGGGCACTACTACTAAAGTCTCCAAAGTCAACCGCCACGGAGATTTGCTCCAAAAGTCACACGTCAAGTCTGCAAAACGAGCGTTTCGCGCGAGACCCCCTCAAAAACTCACACTTCAAGTCTCCAAAACGAACGTTTCGCATAAGACTTCCTCAAAAACTCACACTTCAAGTCTACAAAACGAGCGTTTCGTATGAGAAATCCTCTAAAATTCACGCGTCAAGTCCCGAGACTCACGGTTTTGTGCGCCTGCCACGAAAATTTGCACGTCCACACCTCCATGGTACTGCACCTGCCACGAAATGTGACCTCCGCCACACCTCGCAACCTCACAATCGATTGCGCCTGCCACGAAAATTGCACTTCCACACCTCAAAGCCCGCACAAAGTACTGCGCCTGCCACGAAAAGTGACAATATCGTATCACGTTAGCTTCAGCAAAATTTAATTTGCACCACACCACATGCCAGGGGGGGTGCAAAAAGATCCATATCTGGGGGGGCATGGGAAGAGAACCTTAAAAATGTAACTTACATTTTTCCAAGAAAAAACATAAAAAATGTAGGTTACGTGTGTTTATGAGCCTAAAGAACTGTAACTTACATTTGCTTCAGATCACCCTCAAAGACGGAAAACAAACTCCAATCCCCAGCCCCCTTTCCCAATCCCCAGCCTACAGCTGCCCACCTCCTAACAAAAATGTAAGTTGCTTTGGGTTAGGTGTCCTGGAAACCATAGAAACGCAGGGCCGTTCAGTCACGTACCTTTTTGCATCCCTTTATACAACCACTAAACCCAGAAGCTGTCTTTGGGTTAGGCCACCAGAAAGCATAAAATCATAGAAATACATTAGAAGGAGCCATGGGAAGCTTCCAAGAGAGGGCGCCACCATTGTGTTGGGCCTCGTTTTTCACAATGCGCCTACATCTTCTTACTTATCCTTTCAAAAGGTTAGCAAAGAAAATGTAACTTAGGACGTGGGATGTTTTATTCTCCAGCCCCCCTCCCAGCGCTGGCATCGCACGCTGACACACGCCAGCCACCTCTTCATTTCCTGGTGAACTCCCTGGAACACGCAAGCAACACCCAGCAAAAACCCCCGGGGGGGTGGCCATGAATATGGACTCTACTTAAATATTAAGTAGTGCAAAAAACGAGGGGTGGTCAACATACATTTATGGTGTCCCTCGAAAGTTGTAAGTAGGGATATTTCGACACACGTTCTGAGCACACTCCCATCCACCAAAATCGGCATTTGAGCTGAAGCTTGTCACGAAAACACAGCTTCGAAGCAACAACAGCCTGAAACGCAAGTCCCAATGTCACAGCCACATCCAACACCCCAAAACACCCTCTAAATGCCAATCTCAATCTGACTGTGCAGAAAACTGCGGATCTCACAAAACGCCGCCGCGCCTGCGCAGTGAAATCATCCTCCGCACTTCAACATCTCACGCTTCCACACGTTTCCTCACTATTTCACACGAATCTGACACGTCCTGCTTCCATCCAAAACCCTTTCCAAAAGCTTCTCCCAATGTGAGCGCCCTACCACGAACGGTTGCGCACGGTTGCGAACGCTGAGACAACGAGTTGCGAACAAGGCTCTACCCCGAAACCCCCAAATTTATACAAGAACCTCGCTACGCATTCGGAAAAAAGTCTAAAATTGACCAGCCCCGTGCAGTACCAAACACTATGATTCGAATTCTGGTGGTTGATGGGCTTGACCCTGGAAGATCACGGTGCACGTATGGACCTGCAGCAGAGTTCTCTCAATTGTGATGGCAAACCCCACTTTGCTCAGCGACGCCTTACTTGTAAAATCCCTTGCTCCAGTCTCCCTTGAGTCCCCCGACCAGGCTGTGAAAGCTCAGCGTTGCCGAGGGAGGCGCGGGAAAACATATACCCGAGTTCAAAAAGAAAGGAAAAGCGACGCAAATGCACAAATGCGCTGGAAAAGACTTTTTCAGAAAATGTGAAGTGAGAGCAAAACGTTGCAAAGATGTCTCATGGCCATAGCTGGGACTTGGGCCTGAAAGCCAAGACAAAAGCTGTCGGTGTGCCCATGAATCTCCCATTTCAGTATACCAAAAACTGGTAGTGTGATATGGAGTTGATAGAGCAAAGTCTGAAAAAAAGAACAGCGCCGCCACGTGGCACAATTCAGACAGGTACAGTAAACTAAAGCCACCACAGGCCTGTTGAAGATCCCGGTGGAAAAGCGGAGTCTGGCAAGAGGCGTTAGATCTCACAGAATTACAATCATGTTGCAAGTCGCATGCAGACATGTGTAGACAACATCCCAGGAACTTTCTGGTACTCTAGCTAAGGTCATCCAAGCTCTGGTTAGTTCAAAGTTCAAAGTCCAATCAAAGCCTGCCACCAGACAGGCCCGTGTGGTCCTGAGCAAGTCAAGCAACTGACACCAACACGGGCGGAGTTTAAGTTGTGTTCCTGCCTGCTAGATTCACTGGCAAACCTATGTGCATCGTGCCGGTACATCTACTACTGTACCTGTCTTGACCAGATTCGTTCTTGTCAACTCAGCGCGTGAGCCTCACCTGTTGTCAGCCTGTTGTCTGCAATCGAACAAGAGGCCCATTGCTCAGTACTCCTAGAACAAGACACAATAGATATTCAATAGAATAAGTGGGCAGCCTGGCTTCTGGGCACCAATAAGTGGCATGGCATCATGATGTAAACCTCTGAATGCACACCCCGCACAAGAGATCGCCCACAAGTTTCCAAGAGATCACTGAGAAAGACAGCATGTAAAAGTATCCCGCCATGGAAATCGCGCCGATGTATCAAGGTATACTTGTGCCCCAAACTTACCGTATGCCCCAGAGGCTTTGAGGGGTACTCAATTCTTAGGCGTCAAAAGTTTTGTGCCACCGATGTTGGCGATCGCATGGCGAAATAAAGGCTTTGTGACATTGGGACATCTTCGCTGTATATAAATGACCATACAAACGTCAAGTTGAATTTTATGTGTTACCACTTAACAACGATCAAGTTGTCAGTAATTCCACGCTAACAACAGCGCAAAGCGGAAACTTCATGCAAATAATCCAGAAACCTAAACCCTAAACCATCCCAAACCCTCAACACTAAACCCTATTGGCCCCTAGTTATATGCCAGAAGCTTGCACTCAATGACGTATATACTGGCAAATACCTTCCCCCGCGGTGTTCTGGCGCTTCAATGTATTCCCACCTGGGCATTGGTCTCAAAGAAATGGCTCAAGAACCTGCTGATGGCCGTGGAAGACTTTCTCTTGATCTCCTGCAGGAAAAAGGTGTTCACAGCAACAAATGATTTTACATCCAGCTGATAGTTTGTCGCAACTATGGACGATAACTGAAGTGGAGAACTAGAAACTAATTGGACATTGATTGTATTATAGTCATTGTCACCATGAAACTCGGCAAAATGGGGTGGCAAACATCCGACATATCAATTGAGTTCCTCAACACGTTCCACATTCTTCTGCAAGGTCTGCTCTCGCTCGAGTTTCATGGCCTCGATTGGCATCCACACAATACAATCCTATGGACTAACAACCTGAACAAAGCAAACGTCACAAACCAAAGAGTGGAGCAAGGACGCTACTAGGAGCAAAGGGCATCGCTACTAGGAACAAGGACGCTACTAGGGGCTCCTGGCCTTACTACTGGGAACTAGGAGCAATGTTTACTATTAGAAACAACAAAGAGAGGTGCAGAAAGGGTTCATCATTAACACTGCGCGCGCGGCAGTTGGAGTCCCGCGTGCACTGGGAACCACGGCTGAGAGCATCTCTTCAGAGAATTTAAGCACAACCTGAGGATTGAAATAATGGACATGGAAACGGGTCCAAAGGCCTCATTCGACCCTGCCCTGAATCAGGAACAGCCCTTGGCCAACCGACCCAATTTGGGGCCTTCGGCTGCCATTGCACAGCCGCAAGTAACTTCTCAACGCCTTTGTAATGTCAAGCCAAGATTAAGGAACCACCCTATTAGTTTGGTCCGACTTTTCCTGCAACGCTGACCACCTTTCAAAACAAAATCCGGCCCATGTTCCAAAAGTGGGGGCCCCAAAATCCCCAAGTAGTGTGGTCAATCTTCTTCGCCAAAACATTCCTGCAATGCTAATTGCCTGTCTTGCCTTTGACTCAAACAGTGTGCCCGCTCAGTGAGACTCATTGGAAAGGGTGAAAGGAAATATACGTTGATACGCGCAGCAAATGCAATAATCTGAACTCCCCATTGGCAGCAACTGCATCATCCATGCTGGCATCATGTTTCTCAACCAATTTATCTATGTTCCATATCTTCACCCTCCTCCTCACCAATTCTCCTTTTCCACCACCTCTTACTCATCTCAATGCTCCATGGACGCATCTCAACAACTCGCACTGCTTCTCCAAAATCACCCAGAAACCCAAAACCGCTCCCAAAGAATCTTTGACAAAAGTGCTTGTACATGTATGAAGCAAGTGATTGTTTCAAGCTCCCAATGGGATGCCCCAAAAACTCTCCACTCACAACTCCTTACTCAATGTCGAAACAAATGCTCAGTTTTGCACAGCCGAGCTTAACACGCGCCTCTTTCTCGTCGCGTTTCAGCTTCAACGGTATATGTCTGGTTTTGAACATATGTCTGGTATATGTCTGGCTTATGGCTGGGATTGGCTGAGTCACACCATGATCATGTGCACGCCGGCACTTCGGTCCAAACCTGTCATTTGTCGACTGAGTTCTGAAAATTGACCAGCCCAACCCGGGCATGGCCGTACAGAGTGTCTCTGCGCGCCATCCGTTTACGCAAATCCGCATCAGTGTTGGCTCTTGCATTGCAAACACACAGGCACAACGATGCACCTGGTCAAGTGCAAATCTGCTGCTCGCGCACATGGTCGAGCAAATCTCCTGGTTCCTGCACCTGGTCAAGTGCAAAGCTGATGGTTCGCGTTCAAATGAAGTTCTCGTGGTTCCTGTGCAAATCTGCTGGTTCCTGCATGACCGTGGCATGACCGCTAGGGCAAAAATTGCGATGCAAAAGTGGGGCGCTTGCATCTAGAATCTAGAACAACGTTTCACAAAACCAAACCAGGGGAAGTGGATGGCACACAAAGACACTCTGTACAGCCACACCGGGTTAAGCCAGGCAATTTTTGGAACCCACTAAACACATGACTAACTTGGACCGAAGTGCTGGCGTGCACATGATCATGGTGTCACTCAGCCAACCCCACCACGCCACAAAGTGAAACCAACTTTCCCACAGCCTTCTCTTCCATCTTCCTTCTCTCCTTTTCCTTCCTAATCGAATGTTCAACCTCATAAGTCCTTTCCGTCATGTTCTTGTCCGTCTTTCGAACCCTCTCAGATTCATCCAGCTCATCCAAGTCGATATAGACTAATGCGTTCACCTTCTCAGACTCATGCATCTCAGTTTCATTCAGCAGGTTCTCAATCGATTTGGCCCTCATGCCTGTCAACTGTCTCAAGCTCATCTCAATTGAAATAGCATGAAATAGCCCTCATTCCTCATTTGCTTCCTCGCTTTCTTCTCGTGCGCATGCAAAGTCCTTCCAAGTCAGTCTAATCAAAGATCCCATTCTGTGGTACCACACGTGATTCAAAGCTGCCATTCCAGACCCAAAGAGATTACATAGGTCTTTGGGTCCTTGGGATCTCTCCTCAGGAAGATATTTTCTTTGGGATCCCTCCTCATGAAGAGATTTAGCCTCTTGGATTTAGTCGTTGAGTCCCTTCTCATAAAGAGATTTAGTCTTTTGGGATCCCTCTTCATGAAGCGATTTAGTCTTTTGGATCTCTGCTCATAAAAAGATTTGGTCTTGGTGATCTCTCCTCATGATTGACCCCCAAATTAGTAGGTTTTTCCAAGTTTTTCCCCCGCCCCAAATAGCAGACCTTCAGGAGGGGCTATTAATCGTTGCTTTACATCACAATTATTGTACTGTAACACACAAAATACATACAGTATATTTATGTATATATATATACACAATCCAACATGTAGGTTAACCACTTCTACTTCTCTGCAGCTCTTGGGACCAAACATCCTGCTGCTTTGTTAGGCGGTCCACCATGTGGTTCGAGGTGTCAATCATCAAGACCTGCCAGAGCATCAACACATCAATGTGGATAATGGACATCCATCCCATAGTAGGAATCCTTATACTGGCCATTGTAAATCCCTAATAATGGGTTGATGCCCCCACCATGGAAGATTAATCATGAGTGAGTATTGACCATGATACATGTGCTGTGTATAGTACTAGTACATACTAGTACAATTATTACCTTAGACCTGAGACCCATTGAGACACAAGATGTGGCAAGTTGAAAAGTATGTTGAATCATGAGGTGGATGGAACATGGAAACCAATGACACAACATCCAGAAGTATTGAACTCACGGACCGAACCTATCCGCTCGTGAGAGCATGAATGAGCATGACAACAGGGTGAAAAAAATAACATCGAAACCAGAACGCCGCAAAGGGGTGCCATGTCGATATTCTCCATGTTCACGAAGGCGCTGATGACTTTGTCTGGTTGGAGGAGGGTCTTGTAGGCCGCAACCTTGGTGCAGAAACCTCCACCATGCTCGGAATGTGAAACCACTGAAAACCACGCTTGCATCAACAATTGCTGCGTACAGCAACACCACAACCTAGGCTGATGTTGGCTCTACACACTGTGAATGCCATGGTCACCACCAACCTTCTCTGAGGTGCTGGCTGCTACACCTAGAATCGCCTAGAGACAGCGGAAACGGCTCTCTGGGACATACCACCCTTGCTTCGACACATACTGAAACCAAAATATTTAGAACCATCTGGGGCTGCACACCTGGCAAATCAGGAACAGTAGGATCACCTGAGAGTTGAAAATTTAAACATCCTTCACGTCAAACACAAGAGACTCTTTGAAAACGTCGGAGGGGCTCAGTCTGTTGATTCTGCACCAAGAGGCCCGCAGGAAAAGGGTGTGTGTGTTTGTGGCTCTTTCTTTGAGTGATCTGTGAGGCCCAAGAGCAATAAAGCACTAACAGAACCATGCCCAATTAGACCTCAAGATTGCCTGGTTGCATGGGGTACAGAAGCTAGTCGAACGAATACAATCATTATCACTGTGGCTGGATTAAACATCACCGGAGGCTTTCTTGGCCAAGCCTTTTGTAAACGATCTTCTCGATTTCGCTTCTTCTCCCGCTTTTGGTACTGCTTGTTTGTAGCAGCCTTGGCCGCTGCTAAGCAGAACAAAGCAGGGAATCTGACAAGGGTCAAACCATGCCTGATAATAGGTCTTAGACTTAGGGTAAAATAAGTGCTGCCCTCAAGGGTTTTTGTATGTTCTTGTGCGTGACTCTGATTGAGAATATCCTGTCCGACAGCTGTCAGGAAGCAATCAAGTCCTCCATGTATTTCTCATTGAGGAGGGCATCGATGTAGTCTTCTGGAACCCCTGCAAATCCGAAAATCAAGTCTTCTGAACCCAAGGTTGCACACGAAGCGCAGCGAAGCGCTTGGCAAGTGAAGTCTTTTGACAAGATTTAAGAAGTGCACCCTCAGACATGAGCTAAAAAAAGAAGGAAGGTACAGTAAGGCCAGGGGCAGTCTGTGCGAGCACTATCCTGCGTCCAGTAGGTAGGAGCATCTTTGGTACCTAATAGAGCTGCTGACTGGTAACCTATACCTCTTCTAGCTACCTCGTCCTTCCTCTTCTTCTAGTGCCCTACATGATTCAAACAAAAGACGGATGATGACGTATGTGTTTTGTTTTTCCAAATTCTCTGCCTGACATGAGCATGTCGGCCCTTGAAGGCCGAGTGGATGCTCGTGGAGGCGCCATGACGAAGGAGCTGTCGCGCCGCCGCGAAGGCGAGCACTGCCAAACGGGGGGGGGGCTTTTCATCTGAATCTAAGGGATTTCAAAAGACTTCAAAGAGGGACAAACATGGACAAACACACCCACTGCAAACTACTGCATGTGAATGTCAAATCTGGATCCGACTTGAGTGGCCTTGGTCTGATGACACTTCTCTTGCTCACATTTGATACATTAGCTGCGGAGTCTGTGGAGTCTGAACGTAGAGTGTCCACTGTCAAAGTTAGTGCAAATGACTCCACTCCAAAAGCCACTTGGGATGTTCAGATTCAATTATATATAATATATATACGGTATATATTGGTATATTATGTTGGCTTTCAAACATGACAGACCCCTCCAGACCTCAAGGTGTCAAGTACTACCGATGAAGTTCCCGAACATTCCCACCACTATCGATCTTTGACAAGCCTATGATCCCTTTTGTAAAATAGAGACCAAAGACCACCATCGTTTTACAACTTCAAGATCATGAATGAATGACAAGTCAAATGAAAAAAAGCCTTGTCACTTTTTTGGTGCACAGCCAAAATGACATTGTGGTAGCAAGCTGAACTCCTTCTAGGGCTATCTGTTGGGTGCCCATTCTGCCTAAGCTATGCATCTCATGCGAAATCAAGCTCGTTCAAAGTATGATGCTCGCTCAAACAACTCAACTTTTGTTGAAAGGAAAACCCCCAATGCCAAACTCTGAAGCAGACCCCCAAGAAGGAGAAATTTAAAGGGCTTGGGATACTAGCACAGGATAGCACAGGCATTTTCCTGTACCGAGACAGGCTCAGCATGTTGTTTGCACCCCTCAGCAAGCACTTGCCAGTTGCACCTGCCAGCATTTCACTTGAAATAAATTTGCGGAAGAGACTTAGAGAAAACCATGCTGTTTAAGGCCGAGGGTTCACCATGGCGGGTGTGTGTGTGTGTGCGCGTGTCGGACAACTGTGTACCCATGCATCTTTGAGAATGGCCACTTAGTCACAAACCTGCCACAGTTGTCAAAGTACTGAGTAACAAGTGCATCGCTACTAGTAGCAAGTGCCTTACTACTAGTAACAAGAAGCTATTAGAAGCAAGTGCCTTACTACTAGTAACAAGAAGCTACTAGGAACAAGTGCATCGCTACTAGTCTGCAATTCGGTCTTCTGAGTTTTAAGAGTTCTCGTGGTGCCAAGGCCTGATCCAATTCCTGGAGGACACACTCGAAGGGATTCAATCAACACATGGGAACAGAGAGTCACTGACTTGCGTGATTGCAGGTGTGCTCATGTAACTGTCCAAAAATGCAGTATGGTCGTTTTTTCTGGTGTCAACTGACTGGAATGTTTTTCTCTCATCCTGCCATACAGACACTGGGTGCAAAGTTGAAGTCCATGCTTCACCCTTCATTTGAGCCACATGAGAAAGCACCTGGCAGTTTCAATCAGCATCGACTGAATGACACCTTTGGAAACTATATTTCTATCAAATGTCAAGAAGGATTATAGCTGAAAAGACCATGCCCATAGAAAATCCCACAAATAAGCTCAATGAATGAAATGGTACAGTCGCTTTCTTTGCGTCCTGCGTGCAAGATGCGCGTTTCATGGCTTACAGTTGCAGAAGACAAATAGGCGCGCTAATTTCTGCTGTTTTCGTGGGCTTCTGCGGGATGTCTTGCTGCGGCCCCTGAAAATGACAGCTTGCATGCCAGGGTGAGCATCTGCAAGTCAATCAAGAAATCCATTAGCCTGAACAGCCTCAAGACTCCCATGTCAAAGCAGCTCGAAACAAAGGGCTCAGTGCAGCCCCGCCATGCTATAAGCTCGGATTTTGAAGTCATACACGAATCTCTACCTTTTGCATCTTTCGCGGCAGGTTTTTTTGAAGCCCCACAATCAGGTCTTCTTGCTTTCAAGGCTTTTGGAATCTTTTGGAGCCACGGAGCCACATGGTTTCACTGACGGCAGTACCAATTGCACAAAGCTAAAAGATAGAAACTCTAACTTGTCTTAGCCCACTCCTAACTAGAAACAAGTGCATCGCTAGTAGTAACAGGTGCCTTACTAGTAGTAACAATGTGTGCCTACTTACTTAAGGGCGACTAGTTCGCAGCAATAGGAAGCTCCTAGGAACAGGACGGATAGCTCACGCAATGATTTGGTTCCTAGACTTTAAGGGAAACTTCAGTTGGTCTTTGTAACTGTGAAGTCAACTCCTGGAACTCTGAACAGGATTGAAAGCCACACCTCAAATGGTCTCCAGGCCGGTGAATCCCAGGCCATCTCAACCTAGCAAAACGAATCTTGCCAAGAACTCCAAGCTGTCAAGACACCTGAAAAATGCCTACCTTTCACAGAAACGATGCCAAATTCCGAGGCTTTGGTTTTGGGGAATACTCTATATAGAACCGCTGTGTTTCAGATGTTTCAGCAACAAGTCTTGCACCTCTTCTCGTGGCTGCCACCAGTCCAGGAACCAGCAAAGTAAGGTGTCCAAGGCCACCAGGAGGATGAAAAGCCTCGGATCTGAAACCGGCCCATCTGATCATCTGCGCCTGTTGCATATCTGGTCACTGTCTACGGCTGTGTCTCCGGCTTTCCAGAGACTGGCCCCACACGCAAAAAGCGCAGGAACCGTTCTCTCAAAGGAATGGAAGGCTTCAGGACCTCACAAAGGCCATGTGAAACCAGTGGGAGCACGTTCGTGTTGTAGAATAACTACATATAGTTTCAAGTTTCAAAAGTTGCTTGGCCTGATATGTCCCCAAAGAGGTTGCATGTACAGATACACGAGATTGTACGTACCAAAATTTGATGAACAAGACGATGCAACACTTAACAAAAAATGCTGACATCCAAAGTGACTTCCATTTGGCGGACGTGTAAGCATTGGTTAGAACCGCTGAATTTTCCAGCCCCACCCTCAGTTACAAAAGTTGTGTATCTGATTGGTGACCGGCAGGATGCGCTCCATTTGAGGAGCAGTGGCTTTTGTACAAAGAATCCCTCCTTCAACTGCACGGCACCTTGAATGACAGCGCAAAGTGGCCGTAGACGAGTTGTGGCCGTCTTGTTCTCTGTGTGCGACGTCTTCTTTTCGAAGGTAGAGCCGGTAGAGCTTGGTCTGAAGGGTTCCCATCAGGTTGGAGGCCAAGTAGTAACAATGTTTGCTGGTAGTAACAAGTGCCACGCGACTAGTAACAGGTGCCTTACTAGTAGTAACAAGGTTCGCTACTAGTAACAGGTTCTTAGGTTGGAGGCCATTCCTCTTAGGTTAGGCCATTCCTCTTGGTTAGACGCAGGCCACACGTGGTCGACTCGCACACGTGGATACACGTGGTACAGTGCCGATTCGTGGGACCGCTCCGGCAGACGGGGCACACGCCATGCAAGATGTCCCACTTTAATGTGTTTGTCTTTTATATATGTTAATTATACAGTCATCACTTATCTCTATGCAGTATTGTTTGTTTGTTTTGTTCTTTTAAGGGGGCCAGGCCGTAAGGCCGCAAGAGGTAGCTAGTAGCTTAAGTAAGCTCCTAGGTAGGACGCAGGACTGATCACGCTTCTATTCATTTGGTTCGTAGATTCAAAGGCTACCTTTCATGACAAGGTGATCGATGGCAGGTGCAAGATAACCGGCGTGGCAGCGGAGGAATTGGGGTTAGCAGCGAACCACATAATTTGAGTAGACCGCTGCCCTGCTGCCCTGCCCTGCGTTGGGGCTACCGGCTAGGGGTATGCCATTGTCGGACCGTGTCATGGGCACACTCTGTGAGACACTGCAATGAGATACGGACAGATCATTATCATCGGCGGATTCACAACACCGCAAAGAAAACCAACTGAAACCCCCTATTTCCATCAAACGACGACTAATCATGTAGGAAATCGCCCACGCGGTTGAGGGAATGACTACCTCTCGGTAGACTCGTTCAGTGCGCTCTGCAACGTCCTGCCATGATGCGCAACTGGGAGTTGGACTGGGGACGTGATTCACCTTCTGGAACAAACATGTCTCCACTGCTCCACCACTAGAAATATGAAATTCACCTCGGATCATACAATGTATGAGGCAAAAATTTGTCAGCTCACCCAGCCAGCTCCTGCCAAGAGTACATTTTCTCGACCTCCTCATGCACACTCTGCGCAGCCTGACGGGGAGTGGCTGGAAACTCCTCCTCCTCCTTCTCCTCCTCCAACTCCAGTAACACGACACCTTGGTGAAGTGTGGGATCACTTCGGAGATACGAGCTTAGAATCATCTTTAATGTCAACCTAGGATTAGGGAACCCCCCCTATTAGTCTACCCAGCGTTCAGGCCCCTATAATAAACTAATTTGAACTATGAATTTCCACAGTCACCACCCTCTAATAAAAAATTTGTTTGGCTGAACCCCCCCCTATTAGTTTACCCCCTGTCCCCCCAGGAAAAATACAATTATTCAAATATATATGTGTGTTTAATTAGTTTTGTTCTTTTTGCCTTTTCAATATTTTCTTGTCTTACCATGGTGAAACTGATCTTCTGATTGATTACCAATGCTCTCCCAAAGCAACAGCTTTCCTAGAATTTCCAAAAACTCTCTAGGAAAATTCTTTCATTTTCCCTTATTAAAACTCTATCAAAATCTGCAATTTGAGAAGCTCAGAAAGGGTACCCCCCATACACCCCCTACCCCCCTCTAATAGTGGGGTACCCCCCCCCCTATTAGTCAACCCCATCCATGATGAGCTCTCATGGACCTCATGATGAAAGGGAATTAGTATTTGGGCTCTCATGGATTTCATCATTCCATCCCAGCTCTTCCAAATACTAATTCCCTTTCATTCCAATTCTTCCAAATACTAATTCCCTTTCATCCCAACCCTTCCAAATATTAATTCCCTTTCATTCCAATTCTTCCAAATACTAATTCCCTTTCATTCCAATTCTTCCAATTACTAATTCCCTTTCATCTCAATTCTTCCAAATACTAATTAATTCCCTTTCATTCCAATTCTTCCAAATCAAATTCCCTTTCATCATCTCAGAAATCAAATTTGTGCCAATAAGCTCTCATGGATCTCATGATGAAAGGGAATTAGTATTTGGGCTCTCATGGATCTCATCATTCCATCCCATCTCATCTCCTCCTCCTGTCATCATCAGGTCATCCCCACTATTAGGCGGATGTGATCTCCAAAACCTCCAATCTCAGACCTTGTTGACCTTGTTGACCTTCTAGGGGGGGGGGGGCCGTTGATTAATCCGACGTCGACATTACAAAAAAAAGGTATATAACTTGCTCCGCCACCATAATTCTCAAGCCTAGCAGTCTCGGAGTCTAGTATTGTTTTGCCTGGCATTCGTGACCCAGCCAGGCTTTGCGACCCCTAGGAGTTGCCATAGACTCCGTTGCACCCACCTCGGGCGGAGGCAAGGATAGCAAAGCGTCTTCCAGGGCCTGCAAAGCAGGTGTGGAATCTGCTTGACCGTGTGGGAAATGTTTCAAGAAAACTATTCCACAACATCTAAGCAATAGTATATGTATTCTTTCTTCGCCGGTAGTTGTATGTTATTGTATGTTTGGAAGAAGCCTCTCTGCACAATGCTTAGGCGCTTTGTCGCGTTGTTCACTCTTCATGCCTCAACTACTGCATCAACACGCGGAGCAGCAAGCTTGGTCATATGAGGCCTGAGAGGGATCTGAGCGACAAAATTGTTGACACTGTTCGAGAAAGACTGGAAGCAAACAGTGTGTCAGGTCACGATCCGCACGTGGTTTTCTTCTGGATGCAATCTGAAGCGTTGCTGCAGTCTAACAGTTTTGTTTACCTCCAAAAGCGATCCCTGATCAGGACATTGAACTACTCGTATCTTGCACTGGGTGCTCTTGCGGCAAGACCTCAGGCACACCACCTACGTTGGTGGAGACCACCATGAGGCCACACGCAGCAGCCTCTACCTAAGCGTTCAAGGCTGATTTTGCCAGAGGTCCAAATCTCACTTCACATCGACATGAAGACTGCTTGATACCACTATGCAAGCGCATGTAACCTATGTGTATTATGTAACTACGCGCGCGTAAACACATGCGTCTGTCTGTGCCTCATGTGCATGCGCCCCTGCCAATTGAACTTTGGCATGATCCAATTGGTGCGTCACAGCATTCATACGCCACCCCATGGTTGCTTCTATTGTGTTTTTGACGCAAACTGCTGATGAGTGAGCATCCCTGTCAATACCCCCAGTCCTCGGCTTAGAATATGTTCCCAGACATGGTTTACTTCCCAAATGCGTTCCCACAAAAATGTAGACCTTTCAAAAAGAGCATCGACACAGGTGCTGGGCAAATTAAGCCGCCCCCTTCCTACTTGTTCCTCGGCTCATTCAAATGATTCTTGACGTTCAAAGCAGTGGTTCAACTAAGTCTAAGTGAAGGACAATTGCAATGCAGAAGGCTTCTGTCAAGGAGGTGTTAAGGAAGATGTGCCCCCTAACCAAGACCTGGCGACAGGACCAGGCAGTCAGCTTGTCCCAAAGAACGAATCAGGACTTGGAGATCACCAAGGTCAAGGGAAGGGAAGGTGCTCGGAATCGGTTTGAGAGTCATCAGAGTTGTTTTTGCTGGAGTGATTTCGTGTTTTTCCCGAAAGCATTGCGAAGGGTTCTTCCGGAAAGTCCCTTGAACACTGACACTTCGACACTTACACTTACACACTGACACTTCCACCACACTTGCACTACAACATGAACGCTATACGTACCCCAGTGTAAGTGGAAGAGCGAAAGCATCCAAGTGCAAAGTATGCAAGTGTCAAAGTATGCAAGTGTAAGTACGCAAGTGTAATGATGAGTATGCAAGCGTGCAATGAGTATGCAAGCATGCAATGAGTAGGCAAGTGTGAGCATGGAAAACTAGCACGGGAGATGTCCTAATGAAAAAACAATTTCCCACTTTATAAATTCTCTCTTAAAGGCGGAGGGTGGGACGAACAGCGTCAACCGAAAATGCAACCCTCTGCGGAGATCGTGCGTCTCGAGTGCGCGAAATGCAGGCGAGAGCGCGATTTGTCCGGCGCCCGCGCAACCCTCTGCGGAGGTCGTGCGTGTCGAGTGCGCGAAATGCAGGCGAGAGTGCGATTTGTCCGGCGCGCGCGCAACCGTCTGCGGAGATTGCGCGCGTCGAGTGCGCGAAATGCAGGCGAGAGTGCGATTTGTCCGGTGCGCGCGCAACCCTCTGCGGAGACCTGGGGAACCATTCGATCACTTAAACCGAGTCCATACCGCTCACGACCCTGTTTTCACCTCGGATAGGTCCAAATGGTTTTTTCGAGGCCATTTGATTTTTTCACGTTTTTCACGCTACAGTTTTTTTGGGCGCGGCCAAAGGTTTATGGCCACTGGTGTGAAGGCTTGCTCCGCTATACCATGGGTACAGGCATTGCGCACACCTTCGCATTTCAAAACGGGCGCGCTTTGCTGCACTTGAGCGCCGGAAGGCTGCATCAATCTACTTATAGCGGAGATGCTGCAGGAGTTGCAGGTTCTTGAGCCCCTAAAACAAAAAACAACCTAACAACCTCCTTAGTTGGAATGTATCGTGTGGTGGCTGGCCAAATGGTTCCCTGTATCTTTTTTCTGTTGCGGGATATTTTGGCTTTAACAATTCCCAACCAGATAGCAACATAGCTCACAATGGGGACACGAAGAACCACGTGTCACAGGTTGAATCATAAAAAAAGAATATATGCAAATATGTGTATATATATATACAAATATATTTATATATCACCGTTGGTGTCAAGCTTCTTGGGAATTTTATACAACATTCATAGGTTCCCTTCCGTCCACGTCGGCCACGTCGGCCCGCGCGTCCCTGATGACGCGATGTTGAAGTCCATCTTGTACTCCATGCCCGGATTCCCAAAACCAGGTGCGTTTGTTTCCTCGAGACGCTCGGCGCTCGGTATGTGGTTCAGGTCTTTGCATTCGAAGACCTTTCCAAATTGTGTGGGATCGCAATGAGCCATCTCTCCAAGCACCTTCTTTGGGCCGTGGTTTTGTCTGTGATTTTCCAAACACGACCAATTTTTTCAAAAAGTCTTCGTCAACCCACGTCGAATACTTTGAAACGTTGGCATGGCGATCTGCCCGGAGGACGTGCTTCAGGAGATGAAACTTTGGGGTCACCCTCCACAGGAGAACGCTTCGCTGCAGCGCATCACTAGCCATGGTGATATACAGTCGACAAAACACATCCCCCAAAAATCGTAAAGTGTCTTTTTCTCCTGACGTCAAGAACCAGCCCCCGTCGTATAACAAGCTCATGGCGCGCCCCGAAGTCCAGAGAAGGGTCCCAATCTCAGGGTATATCGCAAGATGTGCTTGGAGCACATCCAGCAACCACCTTGAAATCACGTACACGTCGTATCCGCTGCCGGTCAACTGCGGATAGTTCTTAGAACTCCACCGAAGCCGGGTTTTGGAGATTTTTTTCCACCTCAAAGGCAATTTCATTCGCTTCACGAATGAACGAAGAGAGGCGGAAGCTTCAGCAAGCCTGGATTCCAAATCTCCACTTGTGAAAACTACTTGTTCGCTGAGGATTACCCGTAGGGCGCTGCCCAACATCATTTGCTGAACCCCTAAATTCCACACATGTAGCAAGTCTGGCACTACCATAGATACGTGAAACCCAAGAAGAAAACACAATTGGGGCGCAATCGCCCACGGGTTTGTTTGGTACAGGGTTTGCCAATAAGAAGCGCTGTCACTCACATCAGTGTAGCACCTGTACATGTCTTGCTCAGCACCTTTGCTAGCCTCACAAAGGAAACACACCTCAGGGGGCATGGTCAGAGCTTCGGTATTGATTGGGCTGTCGCAAATCTTACAAAGCAGTAGTACCTATGTTTTGGCACCCCCTCCTGGTTGACATTCATGCGCCGTTCAAAATTCAACAACTGTTTGAGCGCTTTCCAATCGCCACGAATGCCCATGATCCAAAAATGGATTTTGGCAACCTCGAGTGAGCTGGTGATCAAAACCACGGTTCACGCAGGGGGGTTGTTGAAGAGTTGAAGCCTCAAAAACCGAGAAAACATCGTCTATTGCGTGCAAATGACAAGTCCACCTCCCATAGATTGGAGATCGCGAAGTTTGATTCCCTCTGACAGTTTGTTGAAGGAGGCCGTGATAGCCTTACAAACTTCCTGGAGGGTGATGTTCACCCCGTTCCCATCAATCACATACCGTGAAGACGGTATGATTGCAATAGGCCACCTGGAGCTCGAAGCATCTGACCGAAACGGGCTCAGGTCGCAGCTCCACAGCAAAAACGTGAAAGAGTCGTTCAAGGCGTTGATCTCGTCACCTGGGCGTCAAAGTGCTTGTGGGGAGACGAGAATGAACTGGTAGGTCGACCAACGTCCAGAAACAAAGTAGACAATAAAAGTGTGCAGTTAACACATTAGCTGGGACTCCATAGAAGGTGCAACCCAGAGAAGTTCTCAGGTTGTACTGTTGAGCAGGATGTGTAGGGTAATCGACAAGCATCCCTTGCCAGTATTCTTCTACATGTTTGAGATCTGCCAGCGCTGAAAGGTAACCGTTTGCTAAGAAGCTACCAGCCTGCGGTCAGGGTGCAGGGTGCCCTAATTTACTTGTTTGGCAAAGTGGGGGGCGCACGGTATAGGAAAGAAAACCTGCCGTTAATTCTTGAGCTTCGCAACCATGCCGTGTGGTAAAATGACGGGCCAGTCAACAAGCTCCATTGCCCCAGTCGATGTCGTCAGAGGAATGGTGATCGAAGTAATCTTCACTTCTAGGCCAATGTCATTTTGGTTGAACCTCTGAGCGACACCACGCTCACGGGCAGTCCTGGGCTTCTCAAAGAAGGATCCAGCACTTAAGGGCACACCCTCCTATCTCCACACAGGGTGTTTCATAAAAAAGTTTTGGAGCTTGTGCCCGGGCCAGGGGACGTTACCACGTTGGAATCGTACGCCTCTGAGATAAACCGCGTGCGCCGCGCGCTGGTGTACCCAGTCCCAAAGGTGTAGCCAAGCCTTGGCACGGACGCGGACTTCAGCGGTATATATTTATGAGGGTTGTGGAGAATTAGGAAACAAACTTTTGGAGTCCAGGCTTTGTGCTGCCAAACGACGCTTTGTCAAGCCGTTCTTTCATTAGATGGATGGAGTCACCAGCACCTGCGCTGATTGGACAAGAGAAAATATTCCATGTTCTTTGTTTGCTGTCCTCACTGCGTTCCTGACCAAGCGCTCCAGTGCGCCCAATGAGTTTTGTCATGCGCGCATCTAGCTAAAGCGTATGGTGAGGTGCACGGGCTCATCCCCGCACCAAGCTAATCGCGAAAACTCCGTTCGCAGATGGCAGGACCCCAAGCAAATAGACATTTTGTTGGTGGGATACCTGAACCAAATAGAACAAATCTGTCCCTGTGTTTCAAGGTTAACTTAGAAGCAAAACCCTGCCAATTGCTCAAGAAAAACTCAGTATCCACTCTTTAGACTCGAGTGCAGAGTCTCCCTCAGTGGATCCACCATTTCAAGGCTCACGCTCCGGCTTCGGGGTGGGCTTTGCGGAGCTCCGAGGCCACCGCACGGGCTTGAGCACGAGTCATCCGGGCTGACGTCACCTGCACACACGCTGTCGCATGCACCAATAGTTTTCCAATCCTTTTCAATGAGGGCATTGGGGGGTGCATTGTGGAAGTCATGGTGGTCTCACAGTTTACCTTCCAAATCTAGATTTCCCTTCAAATGGAATTGACAAGCCTGGCCATTGATCGTCTCAGACAGCTCATCAAGGTCGCCATCGGCAGTAGTCTTCAACCTCGATATGTGTTGGGCGGTCAACCCATTAAAATGTTGATGACACTAGTGAAGTGTTTAAACAGGAACTGCTCGGTCAGGCTCTCGAGATCAGCTTGGTGCGTCTGCAGAGAGGCGCGAAGCGCATGGTCTCGGGGCAAATCGGTCATGCCTGTAGCGCATCCATTCACCTCCTTCTTCAAGAGCGAGCCTTGTCGGAGTTCAAGGGTTCGAAGAATGTAGAAACTCTTGTCCTAGAGTGCCCTTCAGGTGTTTGACATGGACACACATGGACTATATGCAGCGCGTATCATTTCTGTGAGAGCATACAGAGGGAAATTAAAACTGCGACAGTAAAACCATGGGGCGGATAGCTGTGCGCTGCTCTGCCAGAGTCTTGGGGTTCTGGGGAAGAGCTTTGGCTTTCGCCTTTGTCTTCGCCTTCCCCTCGGCTTGGCTGGTCCTCCTGCTGCGTTCTCGGTCTCCATGTTGGCAATCTCCATCATGCTGGCCAGTGTGGGGGCTGATTGGTCATCCCCTGTCACAGAGCCATTCGTGAGGGCAAGCTGGGAGGGAGTACGGGGCAAGTCCACCAGAAGTAGCGGGGGATGCGTTCATGGTTGGCATCAGTCGCTGCGGTGCGCACTTCAGTGGTTCCCGTCGTGGTAT